CAATCATCAATTTCAAAAGAGAAATACTATTCATCCCCAGTCTATGTGGCGTTAATGTGGCATTAAATGATATGTGAAATTAAATAAGTCATTTAATTGCACCTATCATTTAACCAATCATTTACATCCACATAGACTGGGGATGCATCCCAACTGGGGATGAATAGCATTTTTCATTTCAAAATTTTCAAGTTGAACGAACGCTTTGATAATCGAAGTCATCCAAATGATATTCTTCAATTTTAAATTGGTTAGGGTGGTTAAATTGCGCATGCCATTTAACACCGGGAGACTAAACCCTTCTACTTATAGTCCACAAACAGAAGTAACAATTTTGGAAGCTTTATCAATTCGGGACATTCTTTTATGCACGATTTATACATCATGGGGTATTTAATTTCCCCATCTACTTCAAGTGTTAACCCAAGCCATTCCTCCCATTCTGGCATATCGGTCTCTAGTGAATTGAATAGTAATTCTCCACAACACATATTTCCATAAAATTCCTCTATAAATACTTTTAATTGATTCACGCTCAAGTCTCTACACAAGGGTAGATACTCTAGTGCTCGGTAAAGACATGCACTTTTTACAATACTGGAGCTCATCTTCAAAACTAGNAACCAGTGAAGCTTCAACTCGCCCCACCACCTTACACCAGCGGCGGATTGTACTCGTCTCTGCAGTCCAACTTCAGTTTCACTTCACTTTTTCTCAACTTCGATTTGCAATCCATTTTTTATTTTTATTTATTTATTTATTTTGCGTTAGACTCCAGATTGGATGATCTTTCCCATAATATATTATATGCCAAATGGAAATCTATGAATCTTTCCATGCTGCTCTCCAAATTATCCTCCGTTCGGTGTTTAACACTCATTTTTGCACCATTGAATACCAACGTGTTTTTGAAGCTCGGGACCATTCCTAAGACATAAAAACATGATAAAAATCAACAGATACTCAAGCAATATAGATAGGTTACACACATTTATCAACATCATTGGCTTCAACTGACAATAAATGTTCCCGGAATTGCTCGACACTCGAAGAAAAAAGTGTCACGAGATGATGGTTCATCGTGCTGCCTTCTCTTGCTAACTCGTGCAATAACAGAATCAATGTTCAAGTCAATTCTGATGTAAACAGCAAGTCATGAAATCGAGCTGATGTAGACGGCTAAACAGGATCCAAATTAGCCAACTGGAGCTTACAACGAAAGATGTACAAAGCATGATATGGATTACTGAGTTGTTAGTTGGGCCAGTCAGGAAACCCAGTACAACGGAGTACAAGCTCTCAAATCATTCTGCAGACCAACATTCATATCAAGTGATCAGCATAAACAATATGAAAACACTATGTTATTTGTTTGATATTTAGTACTAGATATGAAGGGGCAAGAATATCGTCCAAGACTGTCCAATTTCCCTCATCGAACATGTTGTACAAGTTTAGAACGGAAAGGGATGCAATTCACTTGCCTTGAACACTTGAAGAAGCAAGAAACAAATCCATACGATCAGCAGCACCAGAATTCTATTGATATTAAGGTTGTCCCTCATAATTTGCTGAAAAGAATAAGAATAATGTTTCAACATTGATAATTAGAAGATGGACCATGCTTCTTGTATATCAAAGAGTACATAAGGATGTACATAATGGACACCCGGCATCATTTCATTGGAGGGAGTGCCAGTCCCACAGACACTCTCTCCAATAGGAAGGTGCCGGGTGTCCATTATGGACACCCTTATGTACACTTTGATGTACATCTATCATTATCCTTAGAAGATAGTAGTAAAGAAAGGTAGACATGGTTTACCACTTTTCTCCTCTTTCGGGACCAATGGTTCATACTCCACATCAATTAGAACTGATATAGAAAAAGAGATGGTCAATTCTTTTTGCCAATTCTAAACCCAACAAAAAAAAAATAAAAATAAAAATAAAAATTAATCTTGCTGTATGAAAAATAGCACAAGTTTCTTATGTATTTACTTTCCCCATTAAAGTTAACAAAAGTTTGTTGTCCCTCTGTCATGGCTTTCTGCAATTACAGGATCCAAAGAGAAGAAGCAAACAATAATTAGCAGCATATTTGAGGATCATTTAGTAGGGCCATAAATTTGAGGAACTAACCTTCAAAATAGTCTCTTCTTTCCACAACTCAGTTGCCCTAAAAAGGGACCTTGAAGAAGTCCCTCTTGCCATATGAACATAGTAGTTTAGATTAAAAGTATTTCATTCTCAGTCATCTAAGAAACCGTAAATTCGAGTAGTAACTCTGCATACCAATGAACAGAATAATGATTAAGACAGTGATGAGCTATGAGAATCCAATCAATCAGTGAACCTCAGACTTGTTGGCAATGGACGGCCAGACAGCAATCAGGTGCTCATAAGAGTATTAGAACTTTTGCCTCTCTTTTCAGCAGAAACAGCAAGTCTTCGCTTCCAGACGAGCAGGGAGCTTCTGATGAAGAAAAGACTGCACAAAAATCAAGAAATGACAATCAGTATTGCAAAAATTGTATGTTTTTCCCATCCCTTTCCTTCTTAATTTGTGTTTCCTACTGAAGAGAGAGAAATAATAATGATTGCTTACTGTAACAAAGTAATTTTAGGTAATTGAACATATATAAATATGTTGTGTTCTAGTCTAGCCCCCTTAAAAACTATACGTGTCATGTCTTTGAAGAAAAAATAAATCTGTCTGCACCTGAATACGTGTTCTGAAGATATGTAGATAAATAAATAAATCTCCCCACCTCTCTAAGAGCTTGAAGTTTAAAATAAGGAAGTTCAACAATTTCTATACAATTTAGTTCAAAGTTTTGATGCAAAGGGAATGATGGATTATAACCAAACCATTACACGAGTACGAAATCTGACTAGATCTATCAAACTTTTACTATTATTTTTCTGCAAAAGAGAAAGAAAAAGAAAGGAATAATGAAAATGGGAAGTCACAAGTGCAGCAACTTGGAACACGAACAAAGATGAACAACAAGGAAAATAACAAAATAAAGGAGGAACAGAACTGGAAAACAGAGTTTGAGCAGAATTATAAAATAAGGAAAAGAAAAAGGATTAAGTAAAACATTTATGTGTGATTATAACTAGCAAAGTGGGCTATGTCACAGTCATTTGTTACTAAGCAAATAATGTATAATCGAAATTCACTAATAACTCAGAACAAAAGATGCAAGCATGTCTCACATATAGGGCCCGTTCGGTAGGAATTAAAATTAGATTAAAATTGAAAAAATAGCCGTTATTGTTGACTTTTATTCGACGAGTGGGACCTAATAACGATCATATTTTCAATTTTAATTGGATTTTAATTCCTACCGAACGGGGCCATAGTGAGAGCTGAATCAAGTACGCTTTGATCTTAACAAAAATTTGAAAGTAAAATGTTTCCCATTTAAAACATTTCAAATTTAGAATCCAATAAACTGGAAATAAAACAATCTGTCACATATAATTATCAGTTACTATGCATCATTATGTGCTAAATATGCATATTACTGAAAAATCAACAAATAATTTGCTGAAGAAACTGCAGTTACTACACTACCCGGTAATATAATTTAATCTGGAAAGTCAAAATTGTGTTGTTTGTTTCTGCGAATTGTATCTGTTACTTGAGGGTTTCATGGACATTGATCTGGACCATGGATGGAACAGCCATCAATTTTAATGTTGGGAATTTCAGCGATGATTGGCCAGTAGTCTCCTTTGTCCTTCAAACACCGTTTTTTAAGAAGCGGGCAATTCGAAATAGTTAAACTCCGAATCCTGTCAAGCTGGTCTTCCATAGGCAATGCCACAAGTTTTGGCAGTCGAAGATATTTAAATGCCGAAGCGATGTGAGGTTTTGGAAGCCCTTTGATAGACTTTCTAGATTGAGCAAGTCACACAATCTCAAACTCATTATAGATGGAGGAAGCAAATAGTGGTTATCATCTTCATCATCATCGTCGTTAGAGAAGGAAACCAGCTCCGGATAATCAGCACCCAAGCTGAATGCTTCAAGAGAGGTGATTTTGTGTAAGCCACACTCCCCCAGGGGATTTAGTTTCCCACAATCATAGATTGAAAGACCCCTCAGATTTGGATGAAATTTCCCTTGGGGAAAGGGCTCTACTAATAAAGGACAAAATTGCACGAACAGATATTCAAGGGATGAAAGTAGATCCATCCGATCGGGTAAGGACTTCAAATGTTGACAACCAATTATATCAAGATATTTCAAATTGGGAGCGGGCAAGCCTTCAGGGGAAACAACTCCAGACCATCGCAGGAGTCTATTTCCAGACAACAGAGACTTGTGTAATTGTGAACTGACCCCAATAAATTTGTCAATTAAAATTCACCACACTTTTGACCGAAAGATCAAGTGAGGTGTTTCAAACCTGTAGCTTCATCATGGTCTTCAATGAGGGACAATCCCCGATTTCTAAACGTTTTAGACAAGATGTGCTATCAGGAACAAACTCTAGAGATCCACAATCCCATATCTCAAGGTTTCTAAGAACTGGAAGAGTATCAATGTCTCTAAGGGACAAGAGCTTAGGACAATTCCGAACAGACAACCGTCGTAGGTTGACTAGGCTTTGAGCAATACTGTCACTTGGCCATAGAGTCTCAAGCCCGCTACAGTTACGAACTTCCAACTTTTCAAGTGCATAAGGAAATGGCATAAATGCTTTTGAAACTGAAGTCAATCCAAAATTTTTCTTCAATTTTAATAGGGTTAAAGATTCCAAATTGCGCATATGACTTAGCACCACCTCATTGCACACTTCTGCTTCTAGTTCACAAAGGGATGGCAGCGAGAGAATCGGAAACTTGACCTATTTGGGGCATTGTCGTATGTACAATTTAGAGACCTTAGGAAATCTGACAAAACCTTCTACTTCATGTGTTAATCCAAGCCATTCCTCCCAATCTGGCATGTCCTCAAAAGTCAGCCTTTCTAGCACGGGAAAAGGCAATTCTCTGCAGCCTTTATCTCCATAAAATTCAGCTCCTAACACTTTCACTTGATCCATCCATCTAATGCTCAATTCTCTTAGGCAAGGTAGTTGCCCTAATGATGAGAAAGTCGTGCACTTTCTACAAAAATCGAGACTTACCTTTTCCAACATACCGAATGATGAATCTCCGATCCAATTAGAGAAGTTCGAACCTCCACAGAACTCAATTTCAAGACTTGATAAGTTATAATTGGGCTTTAAAGCATTAAGCAC